GGGCATCTGGTCTGTTGCCGGGCGGCGGTCGGGATCGGGGGCAGCCGGGACAGGAGGGTGGGGGCCGGGGCCGGGCTCACTGCCTCCCGCAGGTGCTGCCCGGGGTCTGCGGCCCGCAGGTCTGATGGAGGCGCCTCTGGGCGTCACCGAGGGTCTCAGCTGGGCCAGGCCTTGAGCGAGTCAGCGAAGCGCTCGCCTTGGGCGTGGAATCGAAGGGGGCGCCAACATACTTATTGTTCTGGGTGAATGACATTTCAATGTAGTGTTTTTTAAAAGTCAAAGGGGATGCAAAAAATGTGTATGGTAACCTAAATACTAAGATTTTAAGGGCTGGCCGGTTAGCTCGGTTGGTTAGAGCGTGGTGCTAACACCGAGGTCCAGGGTTCGATCCCTGGACTGGCCAGCCGAAAAAAAAAAAAAAAAAAAAAATAGGTTTTAAATAAAGATAACATCAGTATTACTGATTTTTCCATTTGTCTTCAAGTGTCAGTGTGCTTTGATACAATACTGGCCCCTTTGAACGTTAAATATAAAAGTGCAGGTGCAATATGAGATTGGGGTGTTGAGAGGCTGGGAAACCCTAACATATAGGCAAGAGCCCCTTGCCCTTCATAAAACGGGGCACCACTTTTCAGCCACTATCAGTTTGTTTTGCTTTGCTGGTTGGGGTGGTGAAGAAAACCAGGGTCCCCACCTCCACCTCTTTTTAGGTCACCTTGGAAGAGGTCAATTCCCAGATAGCGCTAGAATATGGCCAAGCAATGACAGTCCGAGTGTGCAAGATGGATGGAGAAGTCATGCGTAAGTGCTGCCCTCCTCCCTTCAGGCCGTGTGGTCTGAACTTTCACAGGGGGAAGACTTTAGCAGGGCTGATCGGTGAGAAACTCACAGGCAATGCCTGAGAGTACTGGGGCAACCACAAACCCACCCTGCCCAACAGAGCAGAGCTCAACAGAGCTTCTGGGTTCCTCTTCTGCATTCGAGGCTGTGGCTGTGGGTTCCTGCCATGATCTCCCGTTTGTGTCCTTGGTTGCAGCTGTGGTCGTTGTGCAGAACGCCACGGTCCTGGACCTGAAGAAGGCCATCCAGAGATACATGCAGCTCAAGCAGGAGCGTGAAGGAGGCATTCAGCACATCAGCTGGTGAGTGGAGCCACAGCTCCTTCACTGTAGCCCTTCAGGGGCAGGTGCACCACAGGAAAGCAGCACCCAGTTCTGCACAAGCCCATTGTGAGTACTCTGCTGTGAAGTAGTGACTGAAGGATGAGCTCTCTGTCACGAGATCACTCAGACAGGGCAGGGGCTTTGTGCCTGGGGCTGCTGCCTCAGCTGTTTTTTTGAAACATACTCACCGTTTAATCTCCATCACCCCACCTAAGCTGCTGGGTACCTTCACTCAGGGATACCTCAGAGCACTTCCAGTATGCCTAGAAGTGGTCTCCCTAGGTACAGATGGTACGCATGTCAGTGGCCCCTTTCCCCTCCTCACGTAGGGCCTGTCAGCCCTCACTCTCCTATTTGATCAAATGTCCAGCACTGTCGTGTATTTTATTAGTATTTGGCTCAGCCCTTGACAGCAGCACCTCCTTGCAGCTGCCTCAGGGCGGGTGTGTGTATTGTGCGGTAGAAAAACCCAGAAGGGGAGTGCAGCTGCCCCGGGCTCCATAGGGCTAAGCACTTCAAGCCCCTGTCATGCACAGCTGCTCAGCTCCCCCTGCTCAAGGCAGGATATGGTTTACCTGAGTCCCCCTGTTCCAGGTCCTATGTGTGGAGGACATACCATCTGACCTCCGCAGGAGAGAAGCTCACAGAGGACAGGAAGAAACTCCGAGAGTAAGTTCAGTCCACATCTTCAGCTGTAGAGGGGCATCTGGTCTGTTGCCTTCTAGTCCCCCATGCTGTGCCAGAAGTCTGCAGCCCCCCTAGGAGGTTCCTAGCCAAACCGATGCCCTGCTTACAAGGAACTTCCCTGGGCCCTCCACACTAGGAGAACAGCAGGCAGAGGAGCAGCTCGAGGGGCCCTGCTGGGGCTCAGGGCTGCACAGTACCAGAAGGGAAATGAGCATGGGCACGAAGGGAAAGCTGCCCAGCCAGTACAGTGTGCATCTGTGAGGGGACGGCCACTGCCATCTGCTGGCCTTCCTGGAGGCCACGCTTATCCCCCACCTGTTCTTTTCTGGTCCCTCACAAGCGCCAGGTGGAGAGTCACGAACGTATCCTTTTGTGGGTCACGTTGCGCCTCTTCTGCTCTTTCAGTTATGGCATCCGGAACCGGGACGAGGTGTCCTTCATTAAAAAACTGAGGCAAAAGTGAGGCTGTGGACGAGAACAATCTATTCACTGGTGGACGAGCTTTTTCCAGCAGGATGGAGTCCTTGAGTCGTTGTCTCCCTTTCGCGCCCCAGGTGTGCCCAGCTGGAACTGTCAGCATGAGCCCTGGGGCCCTTTGGACTAGGACAGGGCAAGCCGGTACTCATTTCTTTCCTGTGCACTTGGCCTGAGTCTGCCCTCTCCCGGGGCCCAAATACCCTAAGTCACATGGCAGGTCCCCCAGGGCTGTGGGCCTGGCCCTGTATACAGAATAAACCTATTTTCTTCTTAGTTTGAAAAGTCAAAAAGCCACAGTACTGTGAGTAGGAGGGACCAGGGCTGCCCATCACAGAGGGTAGGTAAGGACAGAGAACCGAGGCAGTGAGTCCTCAAGTCCAGGATGCCACATCACTGCCCAGACCACACGACTGTGTTACCATGATCTGTGCAGCAAGGAGGAAATAAAAGCAGAGCAGCTGTCTTTCTGTCTCTATTTGTGGGGAAACAAGGGCCTGCATCGTAGAGCCTGCGGTGGGAGTGAGTGTGTGGCGCAGCCCCAGGCCCCCAGCCTCGGCCCTCGGGGCTCACCTGCAGCAACACCTTCAACAGGCCTGGTGGAAAGGGAGGTATGGGGGGGGTGGAAACTGGAGCTACTGAGGGTGGGGGGTGGAGCACTTCCCAAAGTGGGGGGAGGGGGTGTGACCACACATCCCCTAGGTACTTGTCCTAATGTCACGTACCAGTCACTCTAAGGAGGGGGAGTAAGGTGTGTCCACCTGGCCAAGGGACTTCACTGGGGGGGTGAAAGAGCCTGTGGTGTATTTGACACTTGGTTTGCTGTTCTGGGGAATTGTGAGTCAGAGGCCAGGGGCCTGCAGGACCTCCCTCTGTAGCCCCCAGCCAAAACTAGGAAGGAGGAGACAGCTCTGCTCAAGTTAGTGGCAGCTAAAACGCTCCCAGTCCATTTATTGGCCACACGAGGTGGTCGTCAAGAGACTAGTTAGGAGGTTATCACAGGAACTAGTGTAATAAATGCCCGGCAATACAAGGGGTTCAACAGAAGTGAACAAGGCACAGGAGGTCTGTGTTCAGGAAACAGGTGAGTCCCTGCGTGGAGCAGGCAGAGTCCCGCAGGCTCATGAGGCTAAGGGTGGTCAAATCTGCCTCACTCTGGTGGCTGGAGCACATGGCCACCGGCACCTGTAGCCACTCAGTGGAGCTGAGCGTCCAGCTCATACTTCTCGCAGAACTTGTCGGTGAAGGGGATGCAGGTGAGGAACTCACACCACTCGCAGCGGACAGGGTAAAAGTAGAAGAGGATCACCAGTCCAGCCAGAAGGCCCAGGAAGACCACCTGAAAGACGATGATCTGGCAGCGCTTGCGGTACAGGTCGAACTTGCCAAAGCTGATGTAGGGCAGGAAGACAAAGGACAGGAAGAGGCCACTGATGAAGCCGGAGATGTGGGCAAAGTTGTCGATCCAGGGCAGCAGCCCGAAGGTGAAGAGAAAGAGCACCACAGCCAACAGCTTGAAGAAGGCGCGCCAGGGCCGCGCCAGGATCTGCCAGCTCTGGAAGAGCTCCACAAAGAGGCAGGCCAGGATGCCAAACTGTGAGCCGGCCGGGCCCACCTGCGGAGAGTGGCGGTAACCATGAGCGCCACTCCCCTGGACCCAGGGCCTCATTTTCCTGTCCCATTCCCATGGCCCAGAGCACATCAGGACTGAGGAGCCAAACAGACATGCTCCCAAGCCGGGCACTGTGGAGACCCAACCTCAGTACTCAACATGGACCATGTTCATGCCGGGCCTCAGGTGCACATGGGAGAGTTCCCTCCCTAGGGGACACCTTTACCTCTGCCCGGTATGGCAGGAAGATAGCACTGGCCAGGTTGCCAGTGACACCACTCAGTAGGTAGATGATGGCTATGCGGTGCCAGCCTGCCAGCTTCTCCAGGTCCCGCAGGACGGTCATCTGGAAGCAGACGGACACCAGGCAGTGCAGGATCCTGTAAGGGGTGGGGGCACTCAGCAAGTAAGGCAGCCTCTCCTGCCTGCAGTCAGTCATTCCTGGGGTCCCTGAGACCGCCCACCCAGCCCACACTGTCACTTGCCCGGCGTGCAGAAAGAGGGACAGCCACAGGCGGTAGAACTGGTCAGGCACCTCAGGGTTGAGGAAAGGCAGGAGCCCACACACGTCATCCATACAGTGCACCTGTGCAGAGCGGCCCGTCAGCACCCACCATGGCTGGGGCGAGGGGAGGGACGTTCAACCTGGAGGCCTACCTGAGAGCACAGTGTTGCCTCCTCATGGAAGTAGCCCCTCATGAAGTCACAGTACTCCCGAGATGTGATCTCACACCTGGAAGGTCAGACCACAGTTTGGAGAGTGCCACTTTGCAGAGGGAGACTGCCGGGGTCCATCCAGGGACAGAGGCTCTTGCCCACACCAGCCAGGGCCAGGTTTCAGCCCCACCCACCCATGTTGGCCCTGAATAAATCCTGACCCTTTCTCACCCCACACCACTTGGTATCCTGGGTTATTTCAGGACTTGGAGAGGGAGGAGAGCATGGCTCCAGGGATCAGGTGCGCACACACGTACACCTACCTGCCCTTGGTGCCAATGCAGCAGGGCCGGCCTGTTATAACACAGTCCATGTGGGGGTGGTTGGTGTGGTTCCCAGCGCTGTTTTTGGTGCATATCTGGGTCACAAATGGGGATGAGGTGGGTCATGGCTTCGCCCATCCCTAGACTCACACCATGTTTGGGGGTTGAGGCAAAGATGGACAGGTTCATAAGGTAGGAAACAGGCGTTCCTTGACTTCAAGTAGACCACCACACCCTGAGCCTCAGCTGGGCCATCCATCAAACTAATGTCATTTGACCTGCCAAGTCCACCTAGTTCTCTTGCTCTGACTACTTGCTCAGAGAGGAAGGACTTGGTGGATGGACAGGCTGGGCAAAGGCCAGGGACCCAGCATCTGAAAACACAGGATGGTCCTACAATGAGGGTCTCTCTGGAATCACTAATGTGTGGGATATGGCTTCCTCCCCCACATGACAAGTGACTCCCCGAGAACCCCCACCCTATCTCACCGGCCACTTGGTGATGTCTTCTGGCCACTCATGGGGGTCTTCGGAGGAGGGCTCATCACACACCCTGCATGAGCCCAGTATGTGGTGAGACCCTGCTTTGAGCCCCAGGCATGGGCACCCTCCCACCCCACTCAGCAAGGAGAGCAGCAGCCCCTGTCCATCACACCCCCCAGGAAGACATGGACGAAGGCAGGTAAGACCGGCCAGCAGGACTGACCTGGGGTCCTGGTGACAGACAGAGCCAAACTTTCTTTTGTGGCCGGCAAGGTCTGGGGCACTGGGATGGACAGGCCACTTCACCCACACTGCCAGTGTGGACTGTGGGGGGACAGAGGGTCAGCCCCTGGTCAGAGCCCACACCTTGCCCAGTTCAGTCAGGGCAAAGTGGAGGCACAGGGAGTCAGGCATCAAAGGCAAAACCATTGGGGTCTTCTATAGCTCGACTTCTATGAATTTACACTCATGAAATGCATGCTGGGAGAGGTTCTGTTACAAGGAGTTCAACCGCATGATTAGCATAAAACTAGAAACAACTGTGTCCCAAATCAGGGGCCTGGTATAAACTATGGCACCTCCATATAAGGTGATGTGATAAGTGCTTGGGTGAATCTTTTTTTTTTTTAATTGCTTAGTGGAAAAAAAATAAGGTAATACCAGTTAAGATACATGCACACAAAGAAGACACGTGCTGAAAGAGCACAACAAATCAAAAATGGGATGAAGGAGCATGGGGATAACGGGAAACGAACGTGCCAAGAGGAGGGTACAGGGTGACGCGGTTCTGCAGCAGCACACAGTGCACAGGGCGGACGCACCGAGCACTCTTCCTCCGAGGTCTGCACACAGCCGGAGCGGTCGTTGCGCACGCAGCAGGCTGAGTGCTTTTCCCGCTCGCGCGCCGCGCCGATGAAGCTGTGCACCTGCGGGTCCTGGCGCATGCAGGGCGAGAACTTGGCGCCCAGGTGGATGAGGGCCTCCTGCGGGGCGGGAGACATGCAGCTGCAGCGCAGGCCCAACCTCAACCGGGCCCGGCCCGGCCCCGCCCGGCCCCGCGCGCCCTCACCGAGCTGGGCCCGATCCAGAAGTTCTCCTGCTGCACGTACTTGACGTTCTCGTAGACCCCGCGGTTCCGCAGCACCTGGAGGCGGGGGAGCGGGTCAGACCGGTCAGACAGACGCAGGCCCTCGCCTCCCAGAGCGGGCCGGGACCCCAGGGTGCCGGGGCTCACCGAGTCCACCGTCTCGTGCTGCGAGAAGCCCACGGGCGCAATGCCGTAGATGCACACGGCCAGGACGGTGACGAGCGAGTGCACGAAGGTGAGCCAGTAGGTGAAGAAGGGCCTGCGGGGCAGAGTGTCACCAAGGGCCGCGTCCCCGCCCGGAGCCCTGCCCCCCACCTCCCGCTGAGAGCCGCAGCCCTCCCGGGCCCACCTGTGGTCGTCCATGTCCTCGATCTGGCGCTTGACGTAACTGTCGATGCGCTTGCGGTAGGTGCGGTTGGTGAGCCGGCCCACCATGCCCAGCCCATACGGCCGCTTCTCCCGGGCAAAGAGCTTGCGCACGGGCACTGCGATGCGCTGGCCACGCCGGGGCCCCGCCGCGCTCACCACCTCCTGCCGCAGCCGCACCTTGGGCTGCTGGGCCGCGGGGCCGCCTTCCTTCTGCTTCCGCCAGCCACGCTCCAGGGGCCTGGAGAAACCAGGCGCTCACCGCCCGCTCCAGCCCCACCTGCTGCCGTCCCGAGGTGCAACCAACGCACCCGACTGTCTCTGTCCTGCCCCAGACGAGCTGCGAACACTCGGGGGAAGCCTGCTCCTTACCAGTAAAAGAGCAACCTCGCGTCCCCTCCAGGGATGGCAGGGAGGAGGAGACGGGAGTCCACCAGAGGTTCTGCACCCGAGCAGGTGTTACCTACGTCAGCCTCTCCTCCCCGCTGCATTCCGACCAGCTCCCAGGCTCTGGGATCGCCGTCCCATCCCACAGGTACACAACCGAAACTGGGATCATGCCCAGCCCTGGGTCCCTCACCCATGGTGGCCAAGCTGGGTTCCCAGTCCACAAGGCAACCCCTTTGGTCAGCCCCCCAGGCCCAGAATGCCGGAGCCTCGCCCGAGGGCCGAGCCGCTCCTAACGGGCAGTGGGTTCTCTGCCGGGACCCCTCGATGGCTCGCCTGCCGCACTCACAGCATCAGCCGGCTGCGCTCAAGCTCGCTGCGGTCTAGGGCGCCGCCAGTGAGGTCCGCCTGCTCCAGGGATTTCTCCCAGTCCGCAAGCGCTGCCTCCGACGGGGACTCGAACACCTCGTCTGGGTACGTGGACAGCTCCTCATAGTGGACACCTTCCTGAGCAAACACATGGGGTCAGGCTAGACACGGACATGAAGGGGACAGAGTGACACCCCGGGCTCTTCTTACCCGGGCAAAGAAGGACGTGTCCAGCTCATCAGGGAAGTCAGCCGTGTCCTCCTCCAGGAAGCTGGCAGGGGTGAAGCTTCTGCGCTGTGCCCGGCGCAATGTGCCGTCCCTTACCGAGCGACCCTGAGGGCAGGGAGGTGAGCTCCATACCTGGTGGCCAGCTCGGCCCCCACCCCACCCCTGGGCCCTGCACCCACCTTCACCAGTGCTGCAGCTGCCCGGAAGCTCATCTTGGCCACCGACTCGCGCTTGCGCCGCCTCGGAAGCCGGCTGAAGCCTGAGCGGGAGCTGGAGAAGGAGCAGAGGGAGGCAGCGCCTGGTGTGACTGGAGTGTGCGGGGCGCTCAGGCCATCAGCAGTGTCATCTGCCACACGGAAGGCACGGCCGCGGGCCAGGGGGTCTATGATCTGGTGGAGGGGAGGAGATGCTGGAGTCAGGGCCTTATGAAGAGAATGTGGCCATTTCCCTCACTCATCGCAGACACCTGGACAGCTGCATGGGTGCCCGTCCACCCCACAGCACCTAGAGGGGGCTCTCTCCTGCCAGTAGTGCCTCTGTGCCTGGTCAGCCTGGGATGCTTTACCCTCCAGAGGCTGGCCCCTCCCCCAGGTCCTGCTTTCCAGAGAGTATTTTAGGTGCCTTCATGGGATTATGAACTCCCAAGGCACCTCCTCTGCTCAAACTGGAACAGGATGAGGGGGCCTGCAGAAGATAGCAAGCGGGCATACCTTCTGCATGCCCAGCTGGCATGGCCCCACGTACAGTGGGGGTGGCGTCTCGGTGCTGGTCAGTGACACATTGTCCTGGCTGGGCAGGTCCAGCTCCCGGATGACCTGGGGCTTCAGCTTCCCGTAGCGCTGGCTGCAGTGGCGGATGCTCTTACGCTGCCATTTCTGGGTGCTGTCACTGTCCTTGCTTACTCCAAACCAGTCAGCTGTCCCCCTGCCATGGGAGGGACTCAGCGAGGGGCAGCCAGATCAACCCCCTCCCGAGCAGGGGGCTTCAAGGGGCCGTCCTCCTGGGCAGCATGCCCTGCCCCAGGCCTCCAGTCACTCCAGAGCCAGGGTCTGGGTGGGCAGGGAGGGTCTAAGTAAGAGGACAGATAAGTTCCAGCCCTGGTCACCTGTTAAACTGTTAGCCAACTCCAAATTCCCACTACACAGCTGGCAGGCCTTGCCTAGCTAAGCATTTCATGAAGGCCCTCACCACATCCCTGAGGGAGGGTTGGGAGGAGACACTGAGCCACAGAAGGAGCTGGGAGCTCAGCCCAAGGGAGTTTGGCCCCAGGCAGCAGCTACAACCCAGGACACCACAGAACTCAGGCCCAGGCAGGCTGCCCACAGCCCTTGGACATGCAAACAAAACACTGCCAGCACCTGCGGTTGGGAGCCCTGGGGAATGCCAACCATGCTGGCAGCCCCCAAAAGGCCACATGCCATGCACACACCAGAAAACACAAACACACTCATGACTGCCTGAAGTACCTGAGCAGGGACCAAGAGAGAGAGTGGTGCTGTGGGAGGGCCCTGCAGGCAGCCCGGGGACCCAAGAGGGGCAGAGTGTGGACATGCCCGAAGCGTACCTGTCGGCTGCTGAGGGGCCAGAGCGTTGGGGTAGGAAGACAGAGAAGGAGACAGTGACTGCTGGGGGGAGCAGTCCGCAGAGCAGGAGGAGGTCAGGGTGATGAGGGACAGGATCAAGGAGAAAGCTGACACAGGAGGGGCCCCTGCCCCATTCCCAGCAGCCCCCAGCCCGGCCCCGTGGAGCTGCCAGGGCAGTGTCATACCTGCGGATGGTCTGGGTGATGGACGTCTGGCGCTGCAGCACCGGCCGCCGGGGCTCAGGGTATGGCGAAGGGACATGGGCCGTCTCTGCTGGCATACTCACACTCCGCAAGAAAGCCTGGCGCCTCAGGGGCTGAGCAACGGGGCCACAGTGAGGGGGCTGGCCAGGGTGCACCCGCAGCCCCTGGTGGCCTGGGCCTACCTGCAGGAAGCCGGGCTCCTCTGCCGCCAGGGGCAGGGGTGCCGCAGCTGGGATGTCCAGCTTCAGCCAGGGAGGCTTCTTGCGCTGCAGACTGCTCGTGCTATCCCTGCGGGCCTCACTCATGGTCCTGGGTGGAGTGAGGCAGTCCTGGGGCTGTGGTGTGTTGTTCAGTAACAGCGCTGACAGGTCCCTGAAGGTTCATCAGTCCCAGACCCAGGAGGAGGGAGAAGCAGTGATAAGCCCAACACTGGAGCCCTGCTGTGCACTCAGCACCAGCGTGATCTGCACCTGCCCTGGTAATCCCAACAGACGGAGCTGGCCACGTCCCAGGTCCTCAGACAATATACATCCATGTGACAACCGTTTGAGCGCCTACTGTGAGTAAGACACTGTTCTAGGTGTTTGGAGATGCTGGTAGAGAAACAAGACAAAATCCCTGCCCTCCTGGAGCTAATAGTCTAGACAGCAGTACACCTACAAATAAGTAAATATGTTAAAAGACGCTAAGCATGACGGGCGACAAGAACAAATTACAGTTGCTTGGCAAGGAACAGTGAGGCCTCTCTGTGAGCAAGGCTTGAAGGAGGGCGCAAGTCAGCTCAGCTGGGCAAGGGGGGGTCCACACACAGAGAGCAGCAGTGTGAGGTCTGGGCGGGGGTGGGGCCCTAGCCCCAGTCTGCACACAGGGCAGATCTCAGGCCTGTCTGACACAGACAACACCCTCTTAACCACCATGACTTCCATTCCAAAAACAGAGGGCCCACTGTGCACGCAACAGCCTGTAAAGGTGTGTAATCAGCTCAACGCACAGAGGAGTCGCCACATTCAGACACTTCCCAGGATGGCAGAGCAGCCGCTGCAGACACCAGGCTCATATGGGCACAGGATTTTCTGAAACCCACCTGGGCGCAGACACCACAGTGACCACCAGGTGGCGCAACGAGCGGGTGGGGGTTGCACATCCCGCACAGTCCCAGCACCTGCGAAATCAACCCCAGACCATCATCCGGGCACAGGACAAGGGGCCAGGGCAGAGGGGCCAGGGCTCACCTCGGGCCACCACTGCCTAGCCACGTGACATGTGACTGTGAGGCCAGTCATGACCTCCTTGGGACTCTAGTTCCCTTCGCACAAAATGACAGCTCCAGGGCAGATGTGCACACACCCCCAAGACAGACCACGAGAGGGCTGGAAAGTGGAGATCCAAGGTTGGGAAGGTTCCTTGGGCACAACAGGGGAGACAGATAGTGGGGTGGTGGCCTGGGCTTCCCGAACCAGTACTCGCAGGGCAGAAAACCCCAATTTCCTCAACCTCTGCAAAGAGCTGCAGACCCCAATAGGCTCTGAGCTGCAGGGTCTGCAACCCACCCACTAATGCCCCCAGATATGTCTCCTTCTCAACTGGTTGTAGGAGATAGAGAAAAAGCCCCACCCAAACTGTACAAATTGGGAAATTGGGAAACTGAGGCCTAGAGAACAGAGGCTTGCCTTGCTCAAGATCACATATTCAGAGAAGAAAGGCCCAGGATACTGATCACAGTTCCTAATGGTCTTCCACCAACCAGGAACTGTCCTCAGACAGTGCTCACAGCTCCTACAGTCCTGCACTGACCAGGAACAGACTCAGGTAGGAGGAAGTCCTTCAGGGATGCCTTCTCCTGGCCATTAGCCCACCCCTCACCTTCCAACGCCTTCTCTGAGCTGACTTTGCACTTCAGGTCCCCGGTGGCAGCTGAAGGGCAAAGCTCAGGGGAGCTCCCCAGGCACGGTGCCTAGGGGTCTTTCCACCCACACATACCCCTAAAGGCAGAGTTCCTCTCCCTTGCCCTCACCTGGCCGGACCGCAGGGGCAAGGGCCAAGGGCAGCATTTGTCTCCACATCACTGGGAGTCCCTTCTTGGCCCCCTGTCCATACTGAGCCCTCGGAATCAGGGGGAGGAGGGACAGTGTCCAACATGAAGGCATCCTGACTGAGAATTGGGTAGAATTACAGACATCGTCTGAGACTGAGAACGTTGGGAAGGCAGGAGGTGTTCAGGGAGGGGCTTCCCGAACTGAGCACACCCTCCCAGCCTCAGTCAGGCTAATGCTCCTGGTGAGTCCGTTATGGGGTCCAGAGAGGAGCAGGGCCAAGAGTGGAGACTGGGGCCACCACTGGGGATCCGCAGGCTGAGTGCCAGGGGGACAGGCACTTCTAGGTGACACCCAGGTGGCTCTTGACTCAAAGTGCAAGCAACCTTTGCCAACTGATTAGTTCATGGACATCCATGAACCCCATGGCTCCCGCTCCCCAAGGCCTGTCCATTTCAGGAGGGCTTCCATGTGTTCCAGACCTGCAGCCTCAGTCAGGCTGCACCACCCCAAAAGGCCCTCCCTGGCCTGAATCCCCCAGGCATGGCACAGCATAGCACAGTTCATGCACACGTGTGCAGCCCTCTGTCCTGTCACTGCCGCTCAGGAGCCAGCATTGGGTAAACACTGGTCACTGCAGAGCACAGGCTAGCAGGGGCCAGTACCCATGATCCAGAGTGACAAGATCTCACCTCATGAAGGAGATGACCCATCAACTGGGCCTGGGAGGAGGAGCTGACCAGCATGAGCAGGTGACAAGAGGAACAGCACAAGCTAAGAGGTGCAAAGGCCTGCGAGCTATGTGTGCACAGGGAACCTGATGTCCCCCAGCCCCTGCCTCAGCCTGGGCCCACAGTCGGCCCCAGGAAACACCAGAGCTGCTCACCTCATGAGGGAGGGGCCGGCCCCCCGCCTGAACATCCGGGTCTCCCAGGTCCTACACCCAAACCCCTCCTGTGCTGGGGGTGGAGGCAGGAGAGCGCTTGAAAACCCACAGGGCTCTAGGTCCTGCGTGGGGAGAGGGTGCCTACCCTGCCCTCGATGCTGTGTGTTCCGGCCTGCCCCACTCGTCTGCCCAGTTCCCCATCTGAGCCTCAAGTGGGTGGGATTCACAAGGCATGGGGAGTGGGGGCTCCAAAGTAGGCGTAGGGGAGGGGCAGGCCCAGCCCTGACAAAGAGTCGGCCAGGGAGGCACACATCGCCCGCCCGAAGCAGACAGTGGCTCAGTGTCCAGGCCTCCCCCAGGCACACAGTGGGCTCTTGTTCCCAGACAGTCCTTCAGGGGGAATCCCAACAGCATTTCCTCTCTGCTGACCCCTCAGCGTAGGGAAAAACTGGCCCATGGAGAGCTTGACTGCCTGGGGCCACACAGCATGAGTCACTCCAGCAGTGTTCATGGCAGCCCACCGAGGCCCAGCCCCCTCAGAGGATGCCAAATGGGAAATGCTGAGGAGCAAACGTTAACAGTGGAGACAAAGTTGGGTCAGGGGCACAAAACCAGAGTATCGCAGGCACTAGGAGCAGCTCAGGATGAGCTGGGGAGGCTGCGGGAGCAGGGGTCACGAGCACATGGCTATGCATGCTAAAGTCCACTCTGGCTGCCCGTGGAGCCTGGTGAGCAGGGGCAGGAGCCGCTGCAGGTGTCGGGGCCGAGGGGTCAGGTGAGGCATGGACAAGAGTCCTGCTGACTCAGGCTCCTGCTCTGGGGACGACTGGGGACCCTTTGGGCTGGCCCTTTGCACAAGCGCAGGAAGAGGCAGGAGCAGGAGCCAGTCAGGGAGGTAGGAAGAGAGCCGGGCTGAGATACTGTGCCCAGACCCAATTGTCTACCGCCGACAACCCTGAGCAAGCCTGGATCTTCCCATTTGAAAATCAGGGGTCACGGCAGTGCCAGGCACACAGTAGGTGCTCAGTAAGTGGCAGGTGACTCAACAACAGAAAGGCTCGTGTTGCCTGCGGGCACTGGGGGAGCTCTCAGCGGGGTGAGGGCGAGCCATGGGGGACCTGGGGACAGGATCCTTCAGAGGTGTTGAGTTTGGGAAGGCACAGGCAAGGGGCATGAGGAGACTGTGGAGAAGTTCTGGCCAGCCCAGACCTGGACAGTGGCCATGACCAGAACCAAGCTGCTTCCACCACTGCACTCAGGTCTGCCCTACACTCACAGGACGATGCTGGCAGGCACAGGGGAGGGCCAGCCCCAGGGCCAGAACTGTCAGGCCTGGGCCCTGCTCCACCCAGGGGACCGTCTGCTGGGAGGTCAGCTGGAGCGACAGTCTCTACCCCGGGACACCTGCCCAGACGTGTCCTCGGCTCACCCAAGCCTGGCCAGGAGAAGCTGCCTCCTTCGGCATTCCTACCTGCTAACCCTAACCCTGGTCTCAGTCTTCTGTCTGACCCCTGACCTGATGCCCAACCCAGGATCCCCCTTACGAGAGGGATCACCAGCTGTCCAGCAGCCCAGAATCCAGTCCTTCTCCACCACATTCTACTGTACAGCAAAGAGGAAGTCACCTGGCCTCTCTGCCCCACCCCTAAATGGCATCGATTCAGAAATGGTATTTGCTAGGCCCTTTGCAAGCCACAGGTGCTCCTCAGCCCTCCCAGTGACCCCTCCACTTTTTTGTGGAAGAAATTAGATTCGAGTGAAGCAGAGGGGGCCTGAGACCCGGCTGGTGGCCTTCACAGTACCCTCTCCCTGTCCCCAGGAGGACAATCTAGATGTCTGTCACCCCAGACAAGTGTGTGAAGGGCCTGTAACAGAAGAGGCTCCCTGCTAGAGGGGGTCTGTGGGAGAAGCCTCCCAAGGCCCTGGAGGTACAGGAATCATGATAATGTTTATGCTCTGGGACCTTACCTGGGAGGGTGGTTCACAGGGGAACAGAGGGGTCAGCCCTGTGGAAGGGGCACTGCCCCATGGCTCAGCCAGCTCATGTGGCCCAGGAGCTCACCAATGGCCAGAGTCAAAGCCCTTGGCCCAGTTGGGGCTGACAGGGCTGATAGCAGACACATCCAGGGGTTGAGGAACCCCAAGGCTCAGAGGGGTCAGGAGACCTGTCCAGGCCACACAGTCAGAAAGTAGGTGGGGGTAAGGACTTAGCTACACCAGATTCTGAGTGTGACCCACCCTCTAGGCTGGACAATCTGCTCCCCAATCTGGATTCTAGTTGGTTTCCAGGAGTTAAGCGAAAGCACCCTCTCCAGGATAGAGGGGAGAGGCCCACATCCCATCGACACACCTGGCCAGAGGGCAGAGAAGCAGCCCGGTCACCACTCAGAGCCCCTGACAAGTGCCCCTGACTGACACCACACA